CCCAGAGAGTCATGCTGATGAATCAAGAGTCTGAACCTCCCAGGCAAATTCTGTATGCTATTGTTTTGCGTTTTGCCAGTTTGAGACAATGCACTTCTGCCTATTCTTCTGACTGCCCCAGTTAGAAATCAAGGCCTTTCCTTTCTCTTGATTTGAAACAGTGAGATCACTCCCAAATAGTATCTTCTTTAAGATTGTGCACACCTCCTCTGTGATGTTTCTATCAAAAATTCACCCCTACTACATTCACTTTTTTGTGTTGTTCATTCACTCATATAGTAGAGAATTATGGGGGCTCTCGTTGATATTATTCTTCTGTGTAGATGCACCTGTTTTCCTCTCACAAGTCTGAGTTTCTTTTGAACTGAAATGAGTTTAAACAACAGCTTGTTTCTCATGTGACTAAGAACAAAGGCTGGAACCCTGGCCCCACTGAACCCAATAGAAGTTTTGTCACTGGCTTCAGTGGGCCCAGGTGTTCAGGCAAGATTTTGAAAGCCTGTTTTTCTTCTTAGTTACATAGTAACGTGTCTGAAATAAAGTCACTACACAGGACTTACAGCAGGACAAAAACGTATCTTGATTCTGCTTCCTGAGGAAGATTCCATATGCTATCGTGAGTACTAGTACAGTAGCATACTACGGAATTTATTGTATTTATCTTTTTGCTTTATGTTAGCTTGTGTTTCACAGACAAATGAAATTACAAGCTAGAAAGCAGTACTCAGTGTCTGGGAGTATAACTATAGCTTTGCCTTTGCAAATCAGAAATTATTATTTGTAGAATTTTGTAGAATTATTATTTTATCCCGTAGAACCGGACAAAAATAGCCCTTTATTTCTCAATCTGGGTTGATTCAAATGGATAACTCGATCTCAAAATATTCAGTGTATAGCATATGGAGTACATAAATATTCTATTAGGAAGAGTGGAAACACTGATTTCCAAAAAGAATTGTCTTCTCCATTCATGCAATTACAGATGCAGGGGGAATGCTGATTTGGATGTGAGGCCCCAAGCATAAAGCACTGGGCATTAAATGCATGAGCATTTCTTCAGAGCTGCTTAGCTGAAGTTTATCATGACCATTCAGCTATTGCCTAGCAACTTGTGAAGGCCATCAAAGAGCTCTTTGTCCGTAGTCCTGGCAAAAACATTTCCCCACAGATCTCCTTATCAGGATCAAAAACAACATACAAACTTAAAAAAAGATTGTATTACATAAGAAATAATTATATATTTTAAAATAGGAATGTTCATATGCAGGTATGTTATTGGCACCACTATTGTTATAGTTGTGTCAAAATTTTCCTTTTAAATTCCCATAAAATCAGTTTTGCTATAAACCATACTGAAATTTACTGTAGAAAATCAAAGCCTGGAAAAGTTGTCTTCCATTGTTTTAATCCTTTTAAAATATCTGTTTCCTTAAAAGGCAAATTTACATTTAATTCATACATCTGTAAAAAAATAAATACTCAGTTTTCTTGTGTTTGAGTTCTTGTTGTGCTCCTTTTAATAACAACTAATAGAAGGATTTTTTAACTATACACTTAACTGGTTAATATACCTGTCTACATACTCCCACCCCTTACCTACCTGCATACACACCGATAGTGGTATCTACCTTGTCCTTCTGAACTTGGATATGGTAACATTTCATTTATATTGAAACAGATGCAAAGTTCAGAATCATGTCAGTAAATTATACTATAAAAATTGCAATATGGGGTCCTTATTAAAAATGCAACCTTTGCCCGTAAATATTACACGTTCTTTTTTAAGATGCCACATTTTCTTCTTTTGTTGAGCATAGGGGAATAAGCCTGTACCTGATTATCTTCCCATCAGAAAATACATGAGAATTGTATACAAAAAAAGTAATCTTCGAGGTTTCTTCCTAGTAATTATAGAGGAAGTTTGTCCACTTGTTATTCCTCCATAGTTGGGTTCCCAATCCTCATTGATCCTCAGAGTCCAGGGTTCTATATCCTTTCTACCTCAGTGTCCCCTATACATCTTGACAGCGTGGCTTTCATAAACCATTATTTGTGCACAGCTCCAGGGGGTACAATTGAGACTGCTGTTGTATCCCACTTGTCTATCCCATTTTAGATTACGCTCTGTGGAAATTGTTGGCAACTGCTGACTTGTTAATAGTGACCATTGTGTATTGAAATACCATTGAAACCCATTAAAAGTCTGTGAAAAAAAAGTTTTCACTGTAACAGGGTTCTACTGTGTGAAGCTGTGTATGATATGAAAGATAATGCATGAGCAAATGGTTTAGCAGGAGAGTATCAGGTATAATTCTAAAATTCTTTGCATTTTTCAGCTTATGGTCTTTACAGATTTATAAACCAAGGCCAGAATTTTTAAGTGTGGAGACTTAAAATCAGGCTCCTAAAGCCATATTTAAGCATCTTCAGAATTACCATGGTTTCCAGATTCCCTTCTCCATATTACAATAATGTAATTAACATGTTAATCATGGCATAAATGGCAAGGGTGCTATACATGCACACAGTAAAATGACAAACCACCCATAAAAGTGTTCTACATTATATGTAAATTGTCAGCCCTAACCCCAGACCTGCAGGCACCTGGCTTTCAAGTTGCTAGTTTAGTGGGAGCCTGGGATCATGATTCCAGCCTTCCTCTGCACTGGCAGCAAGCAAGGGTGCGACTGGATTCTGATCCATGATACCAGAATTGTACCTCCTTCCATGTACCTGTGGCATGGCAGGAGGCACGATTGTTGGGATCAGGGAGCAGATTCCATGGCACCTCTAAATGGAAGTGTACCATGGGTCTCAAGTCTCATTCTTCTCATTGTCTCCAAATAGGGGCTTTAGCATCTCTAAACATCAGACCACATAGTTAGGTGCCAAATTTGGATTTATTAGTCTAACTTTAGGCTCCCAATTTGAAAATACTGGTACCTATTAGTTGGATGCTGGTTTGTTTTGTGTCTTAAATATAAACAAGTCTGACAAAGAAGTTGCCCATGTACGTAAAAATCAAATATAATGCGGGGAGTGGTAACAGTATATGAGGATTTTAACTCTTGGCAAATACTTCTCATTTTTTTCAAGTCAATGGTAATCAAACAGTTGTGATCATCATATGGCTATTAGATGACCTGTGTTAAATGAGGGGGTGATCAATATTTGGATTCTAATGGGCAGATGTTTTCCTTATGGCTGGCACTATTTCAACTTCCTCTTTGACTGTCTTAGCAAAGAGGGCCAAAGATTTAAGAATCTGAAAGTTCACTTTTCCTCTAACCATAGAGATGGTTTGTTAATTAGATTCAGCACCTTGGCAGGGGACTTGGATTGGGGAATTGTTCTATATATAAATAGGGTAACATTTTTCAGTGTTGTCACAAGCAGTAGATACCTTGTTTTCAAAGGGTTTAAAAAGATTTTTCTCAGCTATCATGCGAACTTGTCTATTTTGCTTATACAGAAGTTCAACAGTAAGGGTACCTGGAGCATATTTTGCTGGAAATACTTACAAAGCAAGTCATAGTTTGTGGCTGGGTTTGGTCCATTCTCTCTTTAGCCAAAGATTCATTCAAGAGAGGCAGATTTGGTCCATTTTTTCTTTAGCCAAAGATTCATTCAAGAGAGGCACTACAATAATAGTTAATTGTTAATGCGAAGTACTGTAGACACAATAAGGTCTGAGTACCACAGTAGATGTTTCCTGGCATTTAACATTTGGGGTGTGGGGGTGAGCGAGGGAATTAAAGAATACCAGGAATGTTAGATTTGTACAGAAAAAAGTCTGTGATCCTAATTAGAAGGTTATATTATGATTTATGCCTGCTTATGTATTGGGGTTCATGTCATGGTGAATGTATAATCAATTTTGTGCCAAACCAGATAGACAAAACACTGACTGACCAGGCTCCTTAGAAGCCTGCTGCAGCTAAGCATTTTGGAATGCTCACATGGCGTGTTTTGAAACCCTTTGTGTGTCCCACATTTTTCCATTTGGTATGAAGCTTAGCCATAATCAGCTCACCACTAATTAGAAGTCGTTCCATGTCCTGCTCACCATTATTACATGAAATTATCTCAGACCTTAAGAATTTTTACTTTCAGAAGACGAGTTTTTTCAGTGCCTCGCACAAAAGTGAAAATAAGCTTCTGTTGTTTTGAAATGACCATTGTGAAGGACCTAAAAACCATTCTTTGTGCTGCGTCTATGTTTCCCTTTCATTTCTGCGCGCAGCTGGTACACAGTACATATCTATGAGAACATGAGGGATGGGTAAGGCCTAATTTTTAGAAAGGTCATGGAAGAAGACCAAAACATGTATAATACTGGGAGCTTCAGCACTGGAAATATTAGCTTTGCAAGGCTGAAGGTAACCTCCTGAAGAGTGCCTACACCAGTCTGGCTTGGCTGCAGCCTTACACAGATCTTATGTCAGCAGGATGCAGCCTGAGGGGAGAATCCCATGGAGTTCATCTGTTTTGTGGGAAGAGAGCTCCAGAAATAATTTGCTGTTGCAGAGCCTAAGATTAGTCCCTAGGCACAAATCAGCAAAAGAAAAACATAATTGACCCAGGACTGTGGGGTTCAAAGAAAATAGCAGAGGGGGCGGTTCCTTCCTCCCTTTCCTATTTTAATCACCCCTAATATTATGGTTGATGATATTTTAATGCAATATCTTACTTAAGTGGGGAAAATTCAGTACTCATTAGAACACAGGGTTAAGATGATTAATAATGTTATTGCCTAATGGATCATAAGTAACAGCTCCAAATGACCGTTTATAAAATGGGCTCTTCCATGCCCTTTATTAGAAAAAAATCTATGTCATGTAGTTTTCCTGGTTAAAAGGCCTGGGGTGAAACCCTGACCTTATTAAAATCAGTGGGTTTCAATAGGGTCAGAATTTCAATCCTGTTGTTCATTATTCGTGGCCTATGAAATGTGAGTACTAGTGTGACTGGTGACGGTTCTGTGTCCTAATGGTTTGCAGGTATACACTGTGACAGCGTGTGTGCTGAGGGACAGTGGGGGCCGAACTGTTCATTGTCCTGTTACTGCAAAAATGGAGCTTCATGCTCTCCAGATGAAGGAATCTGTGAATGTGCACCAGGATACAGAGGCACCACTTGTCAAAGAAGTAAGGACAAAATCAGTGCTTTGAAATTCTCTTCTTCTCCTCCTGTCTTTAATAAACCTAGAGTATAATATGATATTGCTTTGTTAATTGTACTATGCAACAGTCTCTGCTTATGTATTTTAATTGTGCTAATTCACGAGCATATGGAAGCTCAAGCTTTATTTGTACTTCCTACCGCCAGGCTTTTTTCTTCTCATAACTCAAGTCTTTTACTTTTTTATTATTTGTTTCATGCCATGGTGGTGCCTAAAAAAAAGAAAAGGCAATGACAGGTCCCTGCATCAGTGGCTTGTAAGGCCAAAATTTGCAAATATGGGCACCTAATTTTAGGCAACTTAATAATAGAAACCTGGTTTTAAGACGTTCGAAACACCTGTGTTTCCCATGTATTTCAGTGGAGGCTCCTAACTTAGTCATTGCTTTTATTTAACATTTATATTGCAATAACACCGCAAAGGCCAACCAGGTCAGTGCCTTGCTGTGTTAGGCACCAATATAATGTCCAGTGTGCAATGATTCTATATCTGCAAAAACATAGATATGAAGCATTTGTCAATTTAAAAGACACTTCATAGCAGAGAGAGAAAACGAGCAAGTGGACTAAGGTAGGGAATGGCAAAAACAAAAACAGAAATGGAAAAACAGAAATGTCTCTTTGCAGCCCAACAGACTAAATGAAAGTAGTAATCCCTGCCTGCTACCTGCCTACCTATGTTCCTATTTGCGTTGTAGAACGGGCAGCAATTCAGAAAAGAGATATATGAATTATCTGTGTTTCCAAGTTCTATTTATTTAATGTTGCTGGAATAAATTACCAAGAGATAGGGTGTAGAGTAAGAGGAATAAGAACCAGAGATGGATGCTTGAGGGACCTACCCCCCACTCCAACCAAAAGCAGGAAGGGAAGGAAGAAGACCCACCAAATGATTCCTGAAAGGTAGAAGGAGAACCAGGACAGGAAGCTGCAAACGCTTACGAATGGTAGAATTTCAAGAAAGATATGGTCTTTGGCTACCCAAGGGGTGGCCAACCTGCAGCACAAACAGCCTTTGTGTTTGGCACCTGGCAGATTAGGGAAGGGACAGGCAATACAGTGGGCAGGACACAGGGAGCAGAAAGAAGAGCAGCAGATAGGACAGAGAAAGGGGATTAGGTTGGGACTCCAGAGGGTATGGGGCTAATTTGTGGCACGCCAGCTAAAAAAGGTTGATTCTCACTGATCTATCCTAAGGTTATATGCCTAACATTGCTGTAGCATTAGTATTTTTAAACATTTCTAGGTATGTAATTATTCTCACCATTTCTTGCATGCATCTGAGAAGGATTTGCAGTAAATCAGTTAATCCAAAAGATGACTAAATAAAGGTAAAGCTTTATTTAGTGGCTTGGAATTATTTGGTGCCACAATTTTAGTGGATTCCATAAAATAACGTTAACTCAAATTCAGAGTCAGTCCCTCATGTGCCACCTAGAGATCATGAAGATCAAGATCACACAAATTAATCTGGACCAAATCAAAAAGTGACTTTTCTATAAGCAGAATGATCTTATGACTGATCCACTGCTTCCCTTGAAAGGACGGAAGCTTTCTGAAAGGATCTGACCACGTAACTTATATCAAGTGTATACTTCAGAGGCTGCATTTTGAGCTAAATTTAAATATTTAAAGGACACAACTTTATTTTTTTTAAGAACAATCATTGCAGTTGTACAATGGACAACTTGAAGCACTGTTGAATCCCTTGATTTATAGAAAAGAAGGGATTAGAAATAAAGAAAGAGAAATTCCATGCAACAGACTTCAGTCCATTTATAAATGACTGGTGATATAGCTCTGAAGTACAGATTATCCTTGACATAAAAATATAAATGGAGGCCCCAGTGTTTCTGGTCTCAGTTTGTGTAAAAAACAGGGAAGTGGCATGTGGCTGTCTGCACTGTGTTAATGAATGTAATGAGTATCTAATTGGAAGGATGGTTGGAAAACATCTGTACCTGTTCCTTTTAGTCAATAGGGTGATGGGCTGAAGTGATTTAGATTTTTCTCACAAGTGAGGAAAAGCACAAGAAGTCAATAATACCAAAGCCTCAAAACAACTTTTTCCTCTTAAGGCTAAAACAGCCCTATTTCATTCTTCTGCGTATTGTGTAACACGTATTGTGATTTGTTTTTTCCCCCAAATCCTTTCCTTTAATTTTAGAATGTTTTGCAATTATTATGCAAGTAAATTGTTTTGTTTATCCTCTTCTTACCCAGGAATATGTTGGGTTGGTATCATATTCTGTCACATGTTTTGTCTGCATACTTTAGTCATTATTCTGTTGCTGAATTGCAGGCCATGCACCCCCCCCAGGATCAGTAGACTTGTACAGGACATGCATGAGGCTAGAATTTGACTCTGTGTCATTATTAACTCTAAAGCTAGGAACAGACATTTGTCCCTGTGTTTATCCCAGAATATAAATATCTTGGAATTGGCATGTACACGCATCATCCTTCTAATCAGGGTTTAGGGAGTGCCAGAATTAAATGCTGATTTTTCTGCCATTGATTCAGTGATGCAATCGAGGGATAACTGTACAGGTATACTTTGCAATATCCTGGGATAAACTGTTACTACCTGTTATTCAGGAAATGTTTTTAGCATTTATCCCAGGACAGTGGACATGAACATATGTACATTTGCACTTTTTTCCCAGGATAAAAGGGTTTATTCTAGGATAAATGCAATATCCATGTGTAAGCTAACAGAAATCAGTGCTGCTGTACACTGCAACTGCTGTTTGGTAGCCCACTTTGGTACCATTTTTTCAAGTGCTAGAATGTCTCTAGATTGTAGTAATCTCTTTAGGATAGGGTCTACATCTTCTTACATGTCAGTAAAGTATTATGATATACTCGTTGGAATTATATAAATATAAAAACAACCAGTTCAATAGCTATGTTTTCAGGTGATGAGACTGAACTAGAAGTGGCAGGTAGACAGCAATGAACTGGTTAACTGTTAACTCATTTAGCTGTTGAAGACTGTGGTGATATAGAAAATACAAAAAGGACTATCAGTACTTTTCTTTCTGGTTTCAGTTTGTTCTCCTGGGTTTTATGGACATCGGTGTAGCCAGACCTGTCCCCAGTGTGTGCACAGCAGTGGCCCTTGCCATCATGTTACCGGACTTTGTGATTGCTTACCAGGATTCACAGGTGCCCTCTGCAATGAAGGTACAAACCCTCTTTAATAAAGGTCCCTGTACAGGATACAGGGGTCAAATGTTTCAGTTTTTTATTGTGTGTATTCCACACCTCCAGGGACCACATGACCTTAAAGTACCATATTTTCTTGCCTAGAATATACCCCCAAATATAATACTTAACTTTTTTTTTTGAAAGGCAGAATGAAAAAAAGGATTTTTCTAGATTATGGCTACGCCAGGCAGGGGCATAGACTAATCTTCATATGATTTACCCTCCCCTTCCTGCATAACTACAGCTGAATTCCTACCTGCTGGATCTTTGTAGAGAGCTAAAGGGGCTGTGCTAAAGAGGCTATGAAACAGAAAGACAGAAGCCAGCAACAAAATTGCCCTAAGAAAGGTTGGCTTGATTAGTAGAACATTAAGACTATTTAAGAGGAGACAGATCATTAACACCTCTAGCATGAAAAACAATAATCCATTTAGTCAATTGACTCCAGCTGCCTGAATAGTAATACTACAGCTGCTGCAAAGTGGAGCAGGTACTTCCAACTCTGGGGAGATAATCAGCTTCCCTGCTTTCTACATGCACTGCAATTTTGCAGGGGTTGGGGGAACACAAGGGGGAGATATGTTGTATGTGAGAAACTATGGTAATCCCTATATTTTTTTCTATCTGTAGTTTGTAAATGCAGAAATTAAAGCCAGAATTTTAAAAAATGCAGCCCTTAAAATCTGAAAAATGTTTTTCTTGACACTTTGGAGAGATCATGCTCTTTAGAAATCAAATTATTTATGTAATATAAATATACTTGATTGCATTTATAACAATATTTACTAAATACATTTTTTCTTGATCCAAGATACCACATTTAAAAATCAAATTTAAACATTTTAAAAATAGAGGAAAAAATACAATTGTAAGTTACTGATAGGCTGTGATACTAAACACTTCTTCACAGTGTGTCCCAGTGGCAGATTTGGCAAAAACTGTGCTGGCATCTGTACATGCACCAACAATGGAACATGTAATCCCATCGACAGATCTTGTCAATGTTACCCTGGTTGGATTGGCAGTGATTGCTCTCAGCGTAAGTACCATTTTTTTTTGGCCCATGAGATGCCTTATAAATCTACTAGGCAGGGTTCAGCTCCTTTTAATCCTCTTGTTGATGGTGAAGAAATTGTCATACCAGACTGATAAATCATAAGGATGTCCCTGGTATACAATTAAGAGATGTTCGCTTACATTGCATTTAAAATGCATTATCATTAATATTTGCCATATGAATGTGGTATAGAAGTTTTGCTATTGCAAATTCAAACATTAAGATTCATTATGCATTTATCTAACTAACTATAGACATGGCCTATGTCACCATCTTCTGGGAGCACCTCACGCCCACTAATAAATTTGTCCACAGAGAACTCTTGTGAGGTATAGAAGTAATATTATTATCATCTCCATTTTATGGAGGGGCAAGGGGAATTGACTGATCCCTGGTTTCCTTATAATTGGTAGAGATCCATATTGTATTAAATATGGACTTCCTACCAATATTTCTGCTGGGTCTACCTGAGTGAGTAATTACTATAATAAATTAAATATTTGACATCGGTATTTTTTGGGATGCATAGCCAATTACAACAGTAACCTCAGTACCCAGTCTTGTACCTTGAACAAAAAAACTTCAGGGGAATGTTTTGTGAGCAGGGGCAGAGAGATTAGACACCAAAGGTATGTTTTTATGAGCCAGCTAAAAAGCCAAATACATTAATTTGGGTGAAGCACAGTGCTAAATAGCTATTGCTTCCAATACCCAGGCTTACTTGTTTAGTTAACATTTCTATCTCTGCTTAGTACTGTGTTGTACTTATATATAAAAGAAGGCTGTTCATTGTCCCAGGAGATGAATCTCTTAATAACATGCCTCATTTATTTCAGTCGCTCAGTTTGTCTAATTCAGGTTAACTGGCTATGTTCCAGTGCAGTGCCACATCTGGTTAATTTGAAGATTTGTTGGCTAAATTCTAAAAATCCTTAGCCCCCACAACTGCCATTAGTACCACAGGAAAAATGGTTAGCACCCACAACTGCCATTAGTACCACAGGAAAAATGTAGGGTGTACTTCTCCAGTTAAACTCAATGGCAAAATTCTTTGTTGGATGACTGTTCTTGTTCTGCCATTTTCAGCTCCATACTGGAGTGGGAGTATTTGGGAAGAGGCCATGCTCACTGTCATGAGCAACTCAAGAAAGTGATGCCAGACAAATTAATGGTGTTTCTGTTAACAATATGCTCATGACCACAAGAGAGGAAGTTTATTCGGTTTGTGCTGGGGCTTTTATTTCTCATGGAAGATAATGGTTTCATTGATTGCTACATGAACTGGAGGCCTCCTTGATACTAACTAACCTCTTTTCTGTGTGACCTGCCATTCTTTTTTGGCTGACCACTAACTTCATGCAACGAATTAACAATATTCTTCATCTCGCACAACCTGAAAACATCAGAAAAAGGCAAAAGCGAAATTCAAAGCAGCAGATATTTCTTGCAAAAGATTTTTTTAAATTAAAACATTTCTTTTAAATAAAATTACTTTTGGACTGTGGCAACAGTTCCTAAAAAATATAGACCATACATATAAAAAAACACTTTGTAAATACAAACTTTTATTAAAATGTACAGCTACTGACCTGTCTCTGAGAAGCTATCTAGATCTCTGACTAATCAAATCTGTATAATACTACCTTACACTTTACATAGGTAAAATCAGCAATTAAGCTTCAATGTCTAATGTCTTTTCTCCCATAAAATATGCACTCTGTGGTTCCACAAGACTATTTAAATTCAGCAGAACAACTTTGATCTAATGCTTTCACTATGAAAAATGGCAAAACTCATTATTAAAGTAGAAAATTATAATGTAATAAATCAAAAATAATACGCCATTCTTACAAAGGACTCCGTACTTTCTGCTCTCCAAGGCATCTGATATGTTCATGTATACATATACTTTTTCTGTAGCTACTTATAAACGTTTAGAATTTTGGAGGATATTTCAGCTGACTTACCGTTAATAGAATTCTGTTTCAAATTCAATATACAGTTTTCAAAGCAGCTTCTGAAACATTGCCTATACCATTTGCAATCCTGGATGCATATGCAAACACTCACTACTTTTATTTTTTGTGATTACCTGTTTGCTAGAAGGATGCTATCAATTGGTAAATTGATGCGGGAAAGCGAGTAAATTAGAGACCTCCGGGTGAGCTAACTAGTTGAAAATGAGCAGACAGAGGAATGGAATAATCCCTAATATTTAAATGTAGTATTGCTGTATGGTCACAAATGCTAAATGTCTTTGTCAGGTGAAATTAATTAATTGACTGCAATTGTTTTAGCTTGCCCACCCTCTCATTGGGGTCCAAACTGTATTCATACATGCAATTGCCATAATGGAGCTTACTGCAGTGCCTATGATGGGGAGTGTAAATGTACTCCAGGATGGACTGGCCTCTATTGTACACAGAGTAAGTTGCTCTTATTGTCTACTCATGTTGTTGTGTGCCTAATGTTCTATATTTTCAGCACTCCCTTATTGTTCACTGATCCTTTAACCCTGTTGGATCAGAATGATCCAGAGTGTGTGACTTATTTCTGCTGGTGCAGGGATTGAAAATTGTAGTCCCCCTGAGTTAGTATAGAGTGCTAGGAAGAAATTCTCCGTTGGAGAAGTGTGGGAAGTGTTTTCATCACTGCCCTCTTTTTGAGCCTCTTGCAGAGGATGGTAGCTTTCAGTTGTAGCCAGGAGTCTATAGGAGGTTTTCATGCACATATGTTGAATAAATGATTCTGACATTGAGATGCTGGAGTCTTTAGTATGTAATTTAGGGGCTTGCTGAAACCCGTCCCCTACCCAAACCATCCTTTGAGAGGTATTCTACCACTGAGAATCTGGTAGATTTGGCAACAACATCATTATCCAGGACTGTAGATTTCATAGACATTAGGACTTGCAAGATCATCGGGTCCAGCCCCCTGCCCAATCCTTGGCAGTGATCCACCAAGGCACATTCCCCTTTCTAGAAATCTTGCAAAGAGCTCACATCCCAGGTCTCTTACCTGTGTAATCACTCTTTTAAAAGGAAAACTTTTTCCAACGGCTATGAGCCCTCACACACACATTAGAAATTGACATAACCACTATCTTATCTGGATCCAGAAATGGAATGTCATAATGCTACTAATTAGCACTCAACTCTGGGAGTTTCCTTACGATATAAACACAAATACATTTTAATACTTGTGAGCTCCAAGAACTTTACATTAAAAAATCAGATACGGCCAATGCATTAACTGTTCAATGGCATGTGACACCCATTATGTGTTGGGCATTAGTTAAAACAAAGTTGGAAAGAATTCATCTCCTGATAGAGGGAATGTGTATGTCTTATGCTCTTTATTACAAGTACAGTAAGATTACATTTGCAGCTATTGTTTGGATTACACTGAAGCCAGGTATCCTCTCCATCTTTGATCTCTAAAAATACATCTGAAATCTGTTTTGTGTGCAGAGCTTAGAATCATAGACTTTAAAGTCAGAACTCTCTTTTTGCAATAGCACAATGTCAGAGTAGCAGGAAATAACACATTTATTACAGGGGCATATGGATGCAGCTCTGGAAGACATTCACTGTACTGGTTCATCTGTCAGCTATCACAGTTATTTTGCTTCCTGCTGGTGAATAATGATCTCTTTACAGTGATATGTCTTCTTCAAACAGAAATGGCATCTTTGTGCGGAGCTGAGATACAGTATGTTATTATTTTTACTCTTTTATGCTTCAACATCAACTGTGCAGAAAATATGACCAAAGATCCATTCATTATTCAGTCTCCCTGTTCTTGTGCACAAAGTGCCCTCTTTCTCCTCCTCCAAATGTCTCCCATTTCTTCCAGCAATCCTTCTTACATACCTTCTCTAATCATCCACCATTCCCACATCCTCCTTAGCTGCTCTTATCTAACTTGTTTGTCTAATTTAGATAATAAACTCTTCAGAATAGGGAAAATCTTAATCTATTATGTTTAGGAAACACCATGTAAATTTGAGATACTACATGAATGGTTTTCATAATAAGTGATCATGCTTTTATATTCTTCATGAAACACTTTTGTCTCTTTCTTTTTTCCTTTTTCACTGTAGGATGTCCCTTGGGGTTTTATGGGAAAGATTGTGCATTAATATGCCAGTGTCAGAATGGAGCTGATTGTGACCACATAACGGGACAGTGTACATGCCGCACAGGATTCATGGGCAAACATTGTGAACAGAGTGAGTAGGAAGTAAAAATTATTCATGCATGGTAGGAACAAATGCAAAAATCCCTAGACTAACTTCTGTTATTCTGAGTCCTTATTCAGAGAGAGAAAACTAAACCAAACCAGAACAAAACAAAATTAAAACAGAAAAGCATTGATTTAAGTGAAAGTTTTGACTGAGCAAGTGCTCCAGAATTTGGCTCTAAGTGTCTGTAATTTGATATTACAATTGTTTCTCTATCTGGGGAAAGCCTAGGAGATGGGGTAATTAAAGACTCATATCTATATTCAACTCTTACTTGCAGTTTATTTCAATTTATATCTATGTTTTAAAAGAATCTGTACAACTCTCCAGTTGTCTTTGCATAATATTAAAAACCTTATAGAACCATGGAAAAAAATGAGTCCAAGTAACAAACAGTGCTATAAAGCCTTGGTAAAAAATGAATAGCCGGAAGACCAAGGATTAGACAAAGGGAATCAACCCTAATGGTCGCATCCAGACAAGCACGGACGTGCAGTATGTGGCACCGCAAGCCTGTCTGTGGTGCCACACATTGCACATGAAGGTGTTCCCTGCACTGCTACCTTGCAACGCAGGGGGATTTTTTGACCCTGGGAGATCCTGGAGGCAAAAAGCCCCACACCGAAAAAAAGCGGGGTGCTGCACATGGCAGCAGCATGTGCTGCCCCAAACTGGAGCCTGGCCGGCCAGAGCTACACTCCAGCTGCCAGACAGGCTTTCCGCCATGGCTGCAGCCGCAGGAGGTCCCCAGGGCCCAGTAAGGCTGCTGGGGCCTGTCCTAGTTCCTGGCCTCAGCCTCCCTTACCCCATGCGGGATAACCAACGTGTGCATGGCACATGCATTCCCCGGGGCAAGTAGCAGCGGCACAAGGTGTGCTGCCACTACATGTCCCCGGGGAAACAAATGTCCACATTCATCTGGATGTGACCCGTGGAGCAAATTTATCCCCAGAATATATTTCTAAATCAGTGAAATTATTCAGAGGAGGTTTTTTTTCTGTGATTGTAGGGGACAGGAATAGGAACAGTGGCCTCAAGCTTCAGCAGTGGAAATTTAAGTTGTAGATTAGGAGGAACTTTCTGTGAGGGTGGTTAAACATTGGAACTGACTGCATAGAAAAAGTGTGGAATCTCCATCCCTGAAAGTTTTCAAGAGCAGGTTAGACAGACACTTGGCTGGGACGGTTTAGTCAGGGATGCTCCTGCCTTGAGCAGGGGCTGGATTATATGACCTCATGAGATCCCTTCCAGTTGTACTTTTTCAGAGCATCCTATGGTCCTATAACATGGCATATTATATTTGCTATAACTAGGGCCTTTTGCCTGATTCTTCTTTCACATGTCCTCATTTTACACTATTGACATCACTAGGGTTATTTTTTATTTGCAATAAAGTGAGAGAATAATCAGATCTGTATGTGTACAGTTGTGCTGGTCTAGTTTTTGCAGGGGTCAAAAGAATGGTTCTTCTCTTCCTAATACATCCCATGATGAATCCTATTATCCAGGAAACTGAACCCTGTTCAGAAGAGGCCTACATACAGCATAAGTTGTATTTAATTCTGTTTTGGGGATTGATTGGGTCGTATATAAGGGTTTTGTCAAAGGGGGTTTGCACAGGTCTGTTTCACACATGTGGAACACAGTTTTCCTTAGCTGTGCCGGTTGTTGTTTTTGTAAAATTAATCTATGTGTTGGTAAAGGTGGTCAAAACATTTTGGACAGAAAAGTTTTCCATTGGAATATTTAGCTTAATTGAAAACTAAGCATTTGGCAGGGACTTATTAATATTGACACATTTTTCTGGCAAAATGTTGAAATGAACCCTTTGGACTTTGTCACTTCATTTTGATATTGCAAAAATGTTTAATTTTTAAGAGTAATAACAGTACTTTTTTGATAAGTTAAAACATTTGGGCTTTTATATCAAATATTGCTAATATTTTATGCGTTATAGTCACTACTACATGCACATTTGATGCATAATATTATGTTCAGATATTATCAAAATGAAATGATTCAACATGATTTACCTAAATGTTTTAATGCTTCTGAATCAGAATTTTTCAGATTTAGGTCTGAAAAATTTCACTGTGTTGACTTTCCATTCCAATTCAGAATTTTAAAATATCAGAATATTCTGTGGAAAAGAAATTCCATTTTCCAACCAGCTGTAATTTGGTGCAAATAGAAATAAACTTAATGACAAGAAAAAGAAATTAGAGAATGTGAACTAGGTTTGCAAATCCACCCTAGAGACAGGGAGTTTCACAAAACTTAGGCTCCAAAAAGTTTGCCCATTTCTCTTTGTGTATTATACTTCTTAAAACCAGCTTTGTTCAGTGAAGCAACCAGCAACAAATTTGGTAATATGAAAGAAACCAAAGCTTTCAACATGTGATGCTAATTACATGGTCAAAAAGACACTTTAATCAGGAATTTATTATTGGTTGCAAATCTTTATTACTGCATGCAAGACTAATTCATGAAAAATCGTACAAATAGTTCACTTTCAAAACCTGTGAGCATCAACTTATTTCCTCTTTGCATACCTCCGTGTGAAAGTATCCTATAATTATCTTGGGCCAAATTCAGACCTTGTGTAAAGTTCTATACAGAAACTAAACCTGGCACTTTGTGCACACAGGCTGCTTACAGATGTTAACCCCCCTCCCCTCCCCCATAATGGGTAACTACACAACTTCACTGAAACCCCCCCCCCCCCCCCCCCAAAAAAAAAAACAAAACCAACCAAACAAAAAAAACCCTTGTGCTTTACTGGAAGCAGGAGTGCAGCTCTGCAGCATCTGTATAGATTGGGTGCTTCAGCAGGGCTTTTTGGTGCTTTTAGCTAAAACTGATTCAATCAGCTATTAGATAAAGCACAAAAACATCCCACTAAAGCATCCAATCTTTACAGATGTCGGATGAGCCAGGTCCACGTAAAGTGCCGCCTCTTTTAGGAATGGTCCTGCGGGGCATTATGTTGCCAGTATTCCCGTCTTCTGGGAATGCTCCTACAGGGCTCCTGCTGCCAGTTTAAAGGAAAGCACCCTTTTTATGAGTTTTTTTTCATGTCTGCAAGCAGCCACAGTGCCTGATTCCCCAGTGCCTGATTTAAGCTTGAGCCATTCTGATGTTGCAGCATTTTGCACAGATGTTAAATAGGTGCTGGGGTGTGGAAAATCAGGCCTGGAATATTTACTTTTGAACTTAAATCCCTTTCAGCATTTAGAACAAAAATATATATTTTTTTATAAAAATCTAACACTAATAACTTATTGCCACCTGCTGGTCACTTATACAAATGTGTATCTTTGATAATGGCAAGTACTAATACTGAATGTCTGCAATACTGAAATAATTCTTTAGCACTAACTACACACAGCTCAGATTTGTAGGTTTAGGATTAAACATCTTCATTTCATTTCTCCTGTTTTGCACAGAATGTCCCCAAGGTACATATGGCTATGGCTGCCGGCAAATATGCGACTGTCTGAATAACTCAACTTGTGACCACATCACAGGAACTTGCTATTGCAGCCCAGGCTGGAAAGGAGCAAGGTGTGATCAAGGTAACTGTCTCTTTTGACATGAAATCAAATGACTATGAAAGTTCTGCAAAATATTGATGGAGTTATTCCTCTGCAGTGTCATATGTTCCTAAATATTAAATTCAGTCACTAAAATGAGTTGTATATATAAATGGTTTTCTTGTTTGTTTAGGAGTAGTATTTTGTGTTTAGGACTCTTTACTCATCAGGTGCCTTATTGATAGATTATTAGAATGAGACGTGAATATCTGAGTTAGGGGAAGTATATATTTGCCTTTTTAAGCTGCATTTGATAATATTTTTTCAGTGTAATATCATACAACTTCTATATATAGCTTCTGGTGGATTGTGTACATTGTATTTTGCCTAGAGAGCAGAATGCTATTTCAGCCCCTCAAGTACATAGGTGCAAAAATCACGTTACTTTTGCAGTATCTCTGGTGAGGGTGTATGTGTGCGTGTGCATGTATATGCATTGGATAAAGCTGGGGACATCTTTCCTAATTTTTTTTTACATAATTTTAACTGTATTTAAATCCAGAAATAAATACAATATAGTTTACAAATAGGATTTAATTCTCTGTTCTGTAAAGATAATCCTTGCATGCATTTATGCCTTGTATTCTCACTTTCTTTTGTTTTCCAGCTGGTGTAATCATAGTGGGAAACTTAAACAGTTTAAGCCGTACCAGTACTGCTATCCCCGCGGACTCATACCAGATAGGGGCTATAGCAGGCATCATTATTCTTGTCCTTGTCGTCCTCTTCCTGCTAGCACTATTCATCATTTATAGACAGAAGCAGAAGGGGAAAGAAACAAATATGCCAGCAGTTACCTATACACCTGCTATGAGGGTCATCAATGCAGATTACACCATTTCAGGTAGGTGCAGAGCTGCGTGGGGAGCATAACTAAGTAAATCACAGTTGGAATGAACAGGAAGGTTTTTCTCTCTCTCCCTCTTGACCTTCACAACTATTTGTTCTCTTTATCAATCCCATATACTATCTACACTCATACTTTTACAGATCTGAGAAAGGATAGAATACCTCCTCATCAGCTAGAAGCATCCAGTTTGGGGCCCACAATACCATAAGTAGTCCTCAACTTGTTGGAAGGTTGCAGCCCCCTTCCATTAACAGTTTCATCTTCCAGGGGCACTCTGTTGTAGTTCTGAGTGAAACTGGAACAATAGCCAAAGCTGGGAGTTGCTGTATATTATGCAATATAGCTCTTTAATCTGTGCATTTAGTCTACAAAGCCTAATTATACTAGTAAATATATGTACTACATGTTTACCTTTAAACAAAAAAAATACTGGTAACATACCATGCAATATAATTTTATTCATTAACAACTTTACATAGGCTATGTGCCAAAATATATTTTTAGATTTAGGAAATACAGGGCATGTCTACACATCGCCGTATGGTGATGTTGTTATGCTGCTGTGCTTTAGTACTTCCTTTTGGAAGTAATGCCTTTTGGAAGTACTAAAGCACAGCACAGTAACCACCTGTACTGTGCCGGGCATGCGGCACACAGATTTTGCCGCTGCGTCACTGCAGCAGCATGTTAAAATGTGGGTGTGCACCGTATGGCAACCTAGTGCATCGCTACATTGTTGTAGGGCAATGTGTAGATGCAACCACATAGTAGGTAACCATCAATCCTTCTGGTGACCTCATGAGAGGTCACCAGGACCTTTGATGCATACGACTAGGCAGGAGTATGGACGAGTAGAGGCTGCCTAGACCTTTTATCCCTGCTTTAGGCCAATGAGACAGCATCCAAATGGCACACCAAGTCCAGACATGTGGTGCCTCAATGGATGTTGAACTGAATCCCAGTCTCCCATGTGGGAGACAAGGATACTAGTACTGGTCCACAGGAGCAGGTTAGGAAATCCACTGACAGTTTAAATTGCTGTGTTCTTCTCATAACTATTTACACAGCATAAGAAAGGGTGAAAAGATATGATTTTAGCTAAGAATGACATTGAACCAGTGAGTTGGATACAGAGGCATTGCAGAGGGCAGGGAAGCATGAGATGTGAAGAGAGTGGGGAAAGGGAGTTGGGACAACAGCCATGCACTAACCTCAAGAAAAGTCATGCAGGATTTGGAAAAAAAAAAAAAGAAAGGTGGTTTTCATTTAAATCCTGTTGCCTAGGTGGAGGTATGTGAAAGGTGGGTAGATATGGTCACACTCCTCTGTATACATGAAACTCCAGGCAGCAGTATCCTAAACATGAATTTGGAAAGCTGGGTCTTGTGGGCACAGGAACAGCAATTATCAAAGCAGACAAAGGTATGTTTGAAAATTGTGGAATAGGGAAGTTACAGTTGGCACCAAAGGTGACAGCTGATGGAGGCAAAGGGAGTGAAGGGACTGAATTGAGAGAAGGTATGGAATTATACTCAGAAGTGTGTTTCTTTTTGCCAGGGGAAGACCTGCTATATCAGTAGCTATTCTGTATCTTTGGTTTATATAATTTAATAAATATTACAATTAAAATACAATTTAATAATTTTAGAGCCTCATTTCTTGAGCAATATTGAAGCAATCTCTAAAGCCAATGGATTCAGAGTATCAGGAATGTCTCTTCAAAAGGCCGTAGCATGTTCCTTTAAATTATGCATTTTGCTTTCCCTTTCTTTTCAGAAACCATTCCTCACAGTAATGGTGGAAATACTAATAGTCACTACTTCTCCAACCCTAGCTATCACACCCTAACACAGTGCACAACCCCATCTCATGTCAACAACATGGACAGGATGACCCTTGCAAAGGTAAAACACCATGAAATATAGTGGCAGTTGTGCAGAACAGGGAAATCAGTGTTTTCTTTTTCATTGTGCATTTTTATGAAAGTCATTTTTGTAAAGTAGTTGATTCCTTACTCTCTCATACTGGATTTATTTCTATTTCCTACAGTTATCCCCTTGGGTGAACATTGGCTTTAAGCTGTATTATCTTTCTTTCTTTGAAATAGACTAAAAACAACCAGCTCTTTGTGAATCTTAAGAATGTGGAACCTGGAAAGCGAGGTGCAGTTATGGACTACACGGGAACACTGCCTGCTGATTGGAAGCATGGTGGCTACCTCAATGAGCTCGGTAAAGACAGAGAGGAAGGGTAGCACATGTGATCCTGCCTGGGTCTGATGGATAGCCGATCAGTGATTTTGCAGGGCATGGGCACAATCTGGTGGTTCTTCTCTGAAGGTAGCAAATATTGCCAGGACAGTCAGTCTTGCTGAATTGGGTTGGAATGGGTCAAAGCCATGACCTTGATTCTTTTTCAGATTGTATAATGGAGTATTAGTCACAGTTTCCACAGTTAAAACTGTGGCTCTACTCCCTGGAGATCTGAGGCATTGGGACTCAACCCTGTGCCCAACACAGAGGCAATGGAACCTACATTATTTTGATAATTTTTTTTTTATCTAATATGATAAGACAGAAGGCATATGGATCATGGAGTCATTCTTGTAAAAATGTACTGGCCTGTTCAGTCAGTAAGATACCGCAGAGTCCCATTTCTATCTCCAGAATGAAGAACATGTACTTGCATTTCAGAAATAAAATGTATTTTTGCAAACAGTTATTAAGAAACATGGAATACAGAATTTATTTAAATCACCTTCTTGCCAATATACAGTTAGATCCCCGGTAGATGAACTGTTGGAAATTAAATTAACAACGTACATGACAGGACATCATAGCAAAAAAGCCCAAACTGTATTTTGAAAAATAAAGAAGGGCTTAGCTAGGCCCAAACCTTGTTAGAATACTACAGCCAGTTTTTTAGCCTAAATTAAGTCTCCCTTGTACCATTGGAGTAGCACCTAGAGGATAGGAAACTGGTAGTGGAAAACTAGTGTCCCTCTTTTTAGGCCAGCACCTCCTTATCCTACTGTCCTCTGGCATTCTAGGCATAGTTTTGGTCACCATCTCAAATCTGCTGAGCACATCTGTCCTGGCACTCTTGTTTTGACTTCCTGGGAAATGGTAAATTTGCAAATCTGATGAAGTTTAAAAAATTGAAATAAAGCTAGAGGACAGAAAGAGTAGGATTCATTTTCTGGTGACTTTTTCATCAAATGTTCTCTGTACAATGAAAACCATATGATTTATTTTATATAGTATGTAAAGACTAGTAGGAAGTATCTCTGCACTACACATTTTTGCCTTACCCATAAATTTAGATGAAAGCCAGAGTAGGGAGCAGGAGCACATGCAGAAGGCACACCAGATATAAACTCTCCACCCTGATTCTTTCATATCTTTGCCATAGGGAAGATCATAGAATCATAGAAAATTAGGGCTGGACCTCAGGAGGTCATTTAGTCCAACCCCCTGCTCAAAGCAGAACCATCTCTAGCTAGATCATTCCAGGCAGGGCTTTGTCAATCCAGGCCTTAAAAACCGCCAAGGATGGAGATTCTACCACCTCTCTGGGTAACCTGTTCCAGTGCTTCACCATCTTCCTAACAAGAATGTATGTCCTCATATCCAACCTAAACTTCTCTTGCTACAACTCTAGACCATTGTTCCTTGTTGTGTTATCTATCACCACTGAGAATAGTCTAGCTCCATCTTCTTTGTAACCACCCTTCAGGTAGTTAAAAGCTGCTATCAAATCCCCTCTCAGTCTTCTCTTCTCCAAACTAAATAAGTCCAGTTCCCTCAGCCTCTCCTCAGAAATCATGTGCCCCAGCCCTCTAACCATTTTCATTGCCCTGGACTCTTTCCAAGTTTTCCACATCCTTTCTGTAGTGGAAGGCCCAAAACTGGACACAGTACTCCAGATGTGGCCTCACCAGTGCAGAATAAAGCAGAATAATCACTTCCCTCAATCTGCTGGCAATGCTCCTACTAATGCGGCCCAGTATGCTTTTAGTCTTCTGGGAAACAAGGGCACATTGCTAATTCATATCCATCTTATTATTCAGTGTAACCCCCAGGTCCTTTTCTACAGAGCTGTTGCTTAGCCAGTTGGTCCCAAGCGTATAACAATGCATGGGATTCTTCTGCCCTAAGTGCAGGACTTTACACTTGTCCTTGTTGAACCTCATGAGATTTCTTTTGATCCAGTCCTCCAATTTGTCTAGGTCACTCTGAATCCCAGTCCTACCCAGCTCTACTCAGCATATCTAGTACACCTCACCCGCCGTGCTTGATGTCATCTGCAAACTTGCTTAGGGTGCAATCCATCCCATCTTCCAGATTGTAAATGAAGATATTGAACAAAAACGGCCCCAAAACCGACCCTATGGGCACTCCACTTGTTACTGCCTGCCAACTCAACATTGAGCCATTGATTACACCCTGTTGAGCTTGATGATCCAGCCAGCTTTCTGTCCACCTTACAGTCTATTCATCCAATCCATACTTCCTCAGCTTGCTTGCAGGAATGTTGTGGGAGACCATATCAAAAGCCTTGCTAAAGTGAAGGTATATTACGTCCACTGCTTTTCCCACATCCACAGAGCCAGTTATCTCATCATAGAAGGCTATCAGGTTGGCCAGGCATGACTTGCCCTTGGTGAATCTATGCTGATTATTCCTGAACACCTTCTCCTCCAAGTGATTATAAATAAATTCATTGGGGACTTATTCCAAGATTTTTCTGGGGACTGAGGTGATGTTGACTGGTCTGTAGTTCCCTCCTCCTTCCCTTTCTTAAAGATGGGCACTATATTTGCCCTTTTCCAGTTGTCTAGGACCTCTTCCAATTACCATGAGTTTTCAAAGATAATGGCCAGGAGTTCTGCAGCTACATCAGCCAACTCAGCACCCTCAGTTGCATTGCATCCAGCCCCATGGACTTGTACATGTCTAGTTTTTTCTAAATAGTGCCTATTTAGAAGATACTCAATCCTAGGGAGACAAGGTTGAAGGGGCACAGGACTGTTCCTCATATCTTTTTGCATTTGCTTCTGACTGTTGTGTGCATTTACTGGGATTGGTTGAAGATCTAGCACCCAAAAACTAAAAAAGTTGGCTGATGGTAACCGATGTCAATTTATCAAAAACCCAGACTATCAGCCTAAAAGAGTGCTAATATTGTACCAATATTCAAACCGAGGAAGTAGAACAAACAGGGTAACTACAGGCTGGCTGACCTCACCTCTGTCCAGGGCAAAATAATAGGGATATGGGCTCTCATTAATTAAGATTTAAAGGACAAAAAATATAATTAATGCTAGTCAACATTTTTAATGGAAAATAGATCTTTAAAGATATTACAAGTTTGGCAGACATAGTTGTATAGATGTAATATTCCTTGACCTTTTGTAAAATATTTGACTTAGTACACATTCTGCTTAAAAATAGTATTATGTTTTAAATTAATTATGAATGGGCTAATGAGAATTGTCAGTGGGAATCATCACATGATGAAGGGATTATGTTGGGGTTTTGCATGGCTTAATACTAAGCCCAAAGCTATTCATCATTTTCATCAACGGCAATGTGGAAGTAAATATAAAACCACTGCTGATAAAACTTGTGAATGAGACCAAGGTTGGCAGAGCAGTAAATAACAATGAAGACAAGGCAGTCATGAAAGGTGCTGTGGATCAGTTGGTTAGCTGAGCACATTTAAACAGAATACACATCTGGGAACAAGAAGTGCAAATTACACCTACAGCATGGGGGACTATATCCTGAACAGTAGTGACTCTAGAAAAGATCTAGGGGTTTTAGCTTATATACAGTGCAAAGCAGTGCCACACTGAGACACATCAGTGAGCACTCTGCTAAACTGGAAACTGTGCAATCCCATCACTGCGACAGTGTTTACCGGCCTACGTACAGTACTGCAGTCAGACAGCTTCTGTTTCAGGAGCTTGTGTGCACTGAATTAGTTTTCTTTGTGCTGTTTACCTCTGCTTATAGATTCATAGATTGTAAGGCTGAAAGGGACCTTGGAAGATCATCGGGTCCACCCCCCTGCACCAAGCAGGAAAGATAACTGGGGGTCAGGTGACCCCAGCACAGTGACTGTCTAGTTTTATCTTGAACATTTCCAGGGTAGGTGATTTTACCACCTCTGGAGGGAGCTTATTCCACACTCTGGACACCCTGACTGTGAAGAAGTTTTTCCTAATGTTGTGCCTGAATTGATCTTCCAGGAGTTTGTGGCCATTACTCCTCATTTTCCCCTCGGGTGCCCTGGTGAACAGTTGCTCACCAAGCCCTTGATGTACTCCCCTAATGTAGTGGTAAGCTGCTACCAGGTCTCCTCTCAGCCTTCTTTTCCTCAGGCTGAAGAGTCCCAACTCCCTCAGCCTTTCCTCGTGTGGTTTGCCTTTTAAGACTCTGATCATACAGGTGGCTCTTCTTTGGACTCTCTCAAGCTTGTCCATGTCTTTGTTAAAGTGTGGTGCCCAGAACTGGATGCAGTACTCCAGCTACAGTCTCTCCAGCACTTTATAGACATAGCCACAGTCCACAAGCAACTCAATATGATTTCTCATGGCAATATTATGGCAAGAAGGACTACTGACTAGTGTGTAAACAGAGAAGTCATGAGAAGGAGTAGGAGGATGGTTTTTTGGCATTGGTCAAACCAGTACTGGAATACTGCACACAGCTCCAGTGTCCACATTTTAAAAAAGATGTTGAAAAATTGCACAAGGGGCAGAAAAGACCTGCAAAATTGATTCAAGGGCTGGATAAAATTTTTTACAGCTGAGAAAGCACAACAGGATCAGTACTTGGCAACTGAAGCCAAACAAGTTCAGACATTGGAAGTGACTGATCACTGGATCAGGAGAAGTGGTGGATCCTCTGTCTTGTGATGCCTTTGAATAAAGAGTGGAGGATGCTTTTCTAAAAGATATGCTTTGGCCAAGCACAAATTATGCCTTAGTTAAACAAAGTTATTGAGCTAAAATACAAAGGTTACTTGGTGCAACTTAATGACCTGTGTTGCACAGGAATTATTTCTCTGCTGAGAGAGAAATTAAGCATGAATTGATTCGTAGATATTTAGAAACAATAATTTTAATTGGATTTGCAAAATATTCTGTATTTTTGTTTCTCCTTTGTCACAGGGGCTTTTGGACTTGACAGAGGATATCTGGGAAAATCCCTGAAAGGTGAGTTTTCATTTTCTGATGTAATTGCATGAAATTACACACACATGTTTCATGTCATGTTGAGAATTATTTTTGGTTTCTGAGTCAGGAGACTATATTAGAATTCTAGACCATGTTGTGCCTTATCACTGAAATGATGCATGAAAGAGTGAAAAGGTAATAAGAGTTTCTTTCTGCCCCATATATGCCCCATATGTCATCCACGAAACACCCACTTCACACTCCTAGGGGAGGCTCCCCAACCTTCCACCAGGCAGACCCCAGCTGGGGTCCAGTGCAGGCCAGGGTGGGGATTTAAACCTCCCCCCACCCCTGTCATCCTCAGCTGGCTTGGCTGGGCTTGGGCCTGGCAACTCCCCTCCCCTTCCCCCGTTCAAGCAGGAAGAGGGGAAAAGCCTCCTGGGGTCTTAACTCCTCCCTTTCCCCCCCACCAGGCAGACCCTGGCTGGGGACTGGTGCTAGGGTTTCCACCCCTCCCGCCCCCATTTCTTTACTGTTGGAGCAGACAGCACAGTCCAGGACTGCAAAGCATCCTAGGATGCTGGAGGACTATAAATTAACTTGAACCGGAAGGGGATCTGGGACAGAATTTCTGTAAACTGGATTGGCCTAAATCAGTTAAGTCTGATACTACATCCAGCTAGGTTTATCTTAAACCAGTTTCAGCCTTTTTGAAAGTGGTTTAAGGATGCAGACAGAAGTGATCATTTTTACCTGATCTGGCCACAGAAAGCAGTCTATAGCTGTGACCAAACACAAGTGCATGGCTGCAGACAACTTAAAAAATGGCCAGTCAAGTGAAAATCTTGAACCCTCGTTGCATGAGGGGTCAGATGAAAATTTTTCAAAACAGAGCGCCTTCTGTAAATTCTGTCTGCACTGCTTGCCAGCCTTGAGCTGTTTTCTGAATGGGAGGAAGAAAGGGAGATGTGGGAGTTTGGTCTGGGGGGTTTTCAGTCCTTGCTGGAGGGTGGGGCAGGACTCCAGTTCATCCACCCCATCCTCCAGTGCCGGCTGGGGAACCCCTAGAATGAGCTCCCTCTGCTCCCTTTCTTCCCTCCCATTCTGAAGCAGGGACAGGCTAGGAGTGAGCAGGGGCCATTGCTAGGGGAAACTGGCTGAAAGCTGCAGCCAGCAGCTAGATTCCCTTCCCCCCTGGTACCAACAGTGAACTTCTGTTTGGTCTGGGGAATCACTGTAACTCAAAACATTCCTGGAAAGCATCCTCAGTTACATTGGGGAGCTGCACTTCTGTCTGCACCCTGAGTGCACTGAACTTCTGTTCTGTTATAGGTTTAAACTGCTTTCTGATCACTTAAACTGGTTTATGTGTAACTTCAATACTTAGCCTAGATTGAAAAATAAATTAAAGTCCTTTGCTTTTGACTTCTGGTCAAAATTAAATTGGCACCCTAAATTAAGTTGACACCCGAAATACCACCTCTGTCCCCATGCAAGAGCAGTATATTCAGAAGAGGCCTTCAAAGTGGACCACAATGGTATGAATGAGAGGGGCTACTTGCAGGGAGAGGGCACCCAGTTATGGAATTTTCTTCCCTCCTTTATCTAAAATACACTAAAACTGATTTCCTTTGAGGCTTTGAGAAGTTTACTTTTTGCCAGGCCTTGATGGGAACTGAAATCCTGGGAAGATGCAGGGAAACGAGTGTGCTTTGAGCTCTTGAGTTGCCTGGTTTGCTGGTAGTAGGATCTTCTACTGGATTGTATTGCCTTACCATTGTCATCTTACAGATGAATTTTGTTGCATTTTTAAGTTATGTCAAGGGCACGCAGAGTATGTGGACAGATGTCCTTTTTCAGTATTTGTATAAATCTGAAGAATGACTTAAATATGTAGACAAGCAGCTATTTATATACAATCCTTGCAAAAGGAACCCAGTTTAAATCAAAATAATAACTTATAATGAATCTATATATGAAAGGATCACTGAATGTTCTTAAAAGATTTTGGGGTACCTGATTTGAGACCCCTCAAATCAGATGTAGGTCCAAAAAAACAATAAATTCATATAATCTTTTCCCAACCCAAGGAAATATTTCCTATCCCAAATCTCCATTATTCTTCCTTCAGCCACACTAACATTGTAATCCTTGGTCATGTAATACACGTGCTCCGGGAGTGGTGGGGGGGAGGTGCTTTAATTAGAGCAGCTCATAGAGCCGCTCTAATTAAAACACCCAGAGTGCCATGTGTATCAGCATCCCTGGGCTGAAAAATGGTGGTGCGGGCAATTTAACTAAAGCTCATTTTCCAGCCCAGGGATGCTAACTAAATCATAAGTTATCTAAGAATAGGTAAGTAACTAAAAATAACATAGTATATTTTCACAGATGCCACAGCCATAATCTTACAAACCAAAGGACACTGTGCCTTCAGCTGCCTCCCTATTATTCCGGGAATACTGCAAAGACAAAATTTTGTAAAATTGCCAGTTAAAGTGAGAACCTGCAAATTACCTTTATTTAGTGCCAGATCCAAATGTAATAGTAAAGGTGGTCAGGGCTTTGTAGTAGACACTTGTCCTCAGGCAAGAATACATCCAGAAAAAGCAGAGCAGTAGAGCAGAACAGTAATGTCTTACACACATTAACTACTGTGTAAGACACATTTTGGGACTCATTATGACTGGTTTTATGTAGAAACTGATTTGTGAGCAACTATGTAAAAATTAACATATAGCAGAAGGTCTGTTTTGTGACAGAATTTCTAAAATCAAAGTTTATTTTGATTTATTGAGTCACAATATTTATATTTATATATTATGAAGTATATTCAAAATAATTTTGTAATAATGTCTTTTTTCTGTCTTTAGATCTGGTGAAAAACTCAGAATACAATTTAAGTAACTGCTCACTAAGTAGCTCTGAAAATCCATATGCTACCATAAAAGATCCACCAGCACTTGTACCAAAAAACACAGAATGTGGATATGTTGAAATGAAGTCACCAGCACGCAGGGACTCGCCATACGCTGAGATCGGCAACTCTGCTTCAGCCAACAAGAATGTCTATGAAGTTGGTAAGTACAATCTGTAAGTGCATTTTTAGATAGTGCAGAATAAGGACAAATTGCACAAGACTCCCTTTGAGTAAGGGTCACCAAAAATGGGCAAAAAGCACTGAAAAATCTTGACACTTTAAAAGTGTATAACTATTCTATAGCTGTATGAACAATCACAACTTTGAAATACGTGATGCAATTCATAATAAAGATAGTTTTAGGTACCTCTAGTTGTTATTATCTAATTAAATGGCACCCCCTAATTTTACTTCTTTGGCTTTTTTGAGCAGTATCTTTTATGAAACATGTTTAACCTTTTAGTGGCAGGTTAACTCAGCTCTGTACTAGGCTAGGCATGCTCAACTGACCTCCGGCCATGCAGATCCAGCCTGCGGAGCCGTATCACCCAGCCTGCCAGGCTCCCCATGGGTCCGAAAATTTGGAAGCGGGGAGCAGTGGCAGTGTTAATTGCCACTCCCCTGCTGGCTTATTTTTGGACATGTGGGGAGCCCAACAGGCCAGATAGTAAATCTAGACATGTGGGGCTTGGCCAGGGTGGTGCAGGGCCCCTTTTACCAGCCCCTCAAAAGATCACTCTGTCCACCGATCTCCATGTCCACTGGTGCTGAAGGGCCCCTGATTCTGCAGCAGACCATGCCCCCAACTTCTGGTGGCCTGCAGGTAATCTAGCAGGCTAGATAGAGCAGCTTCACAGGCTGGATCTGGTTCATGGGCAGTATGTTTGATACCCCTGAAATAACTGACCAGCTTTGAAGTCAACAATTTTTGTGGTTATTGTAGGGGATTCTTCCTTCTACCCAATTTCTTTCTCTTTGGGTTGAGTCTGGTACAAGAACGTAACCCTGGTATTATGGGTCTAGGAGCTGGTGAGGCTCTAGAGTCCTTGATACAACTCCTGACTTTTCCTGCGTGCTCAGCCTCTGGTCTCCCAGACATGCATGAAAGGAGTCACTTTTGTACAACCATTCTTGAAGAGAATGATTCACAGATTCACAGAAGTTTAGGGCTGGAAGGAACCTCATGAGATCATCAGGTCCAGCCCCACTGCTCTGGCCTTGCACGGTTCTTGAGTTAAGAGACTGCCAAGGAAGAAAAACCGGAACTGAGAGACTGGAGGTACAGAAAAGCATACAGGGACTCTCGCTCTCAAGCCCTGAGGACAGCTAAGTGCACAGGAGAGCACTCATTGGCTGTTCACCTTCTATTCTGCCCCTTCCCCTATAGGGGGTGAGAGGAGAGTGGAGCACTGTGGGATGCTGGAAGACCCTCTGTTATGCCCTGTAGAGTGAACAGAAATAATAGGGAGCACTTTGGCCATTTTTGGAGCACTTCATAAGGTGCTTGTATCTGTCTACTTGCTCTTTTAAGTACCCAAAAGAGTTTGAAGTGCTTCAAATGTTAAATCTGTCCAAGGCCTTAGTTAGCCTTTTCTCTGCTGTGTGGAGTTTGTAAGCTCCATCACAGCTATGCTGTCTTAATTTCAGAACTTGGGAGCTGGGTGAAAAAAATGTCTTCATTTTTAAGTATAGGGGAATATTGAGCAAGACTATTTTGTTCGTTTTCATGAAATGCAGTATTTTCCTCCCATTTGTCATTGTGAGCACATTACCATGTGTTCTCTTTTATCACAGAACCTACAGTGAGTGTTGTCCAGGGAGCATTCAGCAACAATGGACCTTTCAGCCAAGATCCGTATGATCTTCCGAAAAACAGCCACATTCCATGCCATTATGACTTGCTACCAGTTCGAGATAGTCCATCCACTTCTAAGAAAGAGATCAGCAGTGAATGACACTTAAAGGTCATTGTGCAGAACAGTGGAACTCTAGAGGAGAACAGCAGCCTGGTTATATCCTCCTTCTAGTTTGCCACCATTCAGTTTGGCTCCTAATCCATTCAGTAGACAATTGTTGTACGTTAACCAAGAATCTCAAGATGAGGTTTGTATACACACATGGTCAATGGATAGATGCCAAGCTGAGAAGGTCCGGATCAGATTTTGAATTAAAATTAATTTTATAGAGACGCCAATGCAGCACATATACATTGTAATATACTGGCTTAAACATAGTAGTTTGCAGTACAGTTCTGATAATTCCTATTTCTGCAACTTTGAAACTGGAATACATGTTTGTTGTTTGCTTCCTCATGTTTCATAGTAGAGATGCCCCCAGGACAGTTCAACTGACCAAGCACCTACCTTGTATAGGTAATCTGACTCATCATTACCTATGAGAAAAATGGTCTTGTTCCTAAATTTCTTCACTTTGCAGTGTATTGCAGTGGATTGTCTTTCGTCAAGACACAAAGAGACATGGTCTGAAGGTGTGTATAGGTTGCAATACTGCAACAATTTGGAAGACCCAGCACGAGATTTTTTTTATGTCCATTTTTGCCATGAAAATACAATGCCTGAGTAATTTTGAAGGTGATGAAAACACTGCATGCAATAATGTTACTGCTATGCCTCGAGATCAGTGGATACCCCACATTTGTAGGTTTGGGCACCAGTCACTTCCAGACCATTGGGCACATTTCAGTTACATATACTGCAGTTCTGACTACTCTTCCTGGCATACACAAGTAATAATCCATAGCATATCAGTAATTATTTCATAAATATATAAATGAAATCAGTTTATTTTTGTCGGAATGGACTGTGTGTTAAGGAATGGATAAAAATGATGAGTGCTATGAATCTGAACTCAAGGAAAGGTTTAAATTTTATAAACAAGTAGTATATGGGCTGTAATATAGGGTAAGAATAGTACAATGTTTTGATTAATTTTCCCCTAGAAATGATGGAACAATCTCTGCATATTTGCTAAAAAGGCACCTTTTCTTTTTCATAGTTGATGT